GAAGACAAGCCTCCATCTTCACACAAATATGCCATCGTACATTGAGGGAGTAATTCCTATGTCAGCACTCTGGTACAGCTTGAGTTTGATGCCTTTGCTGCATTACTCACTTTCTTTAGAAAACACTTTCTTATTTTACCAAAGAAGAAGGCTGGAAAAACAGTCTAAACTTCTGTAGTCCCACTTTTCACCTTCAGAGCTGTCATATATACTGGAACAATGGGAACTGAGGTCAGTACGGCTGGGCTCTACTTCTTGACAGAGCACTCAATTTACCTGTGCTTTGGCTATTTCTCCACCGACAACATAGATGATACTCGGCAGCTAGGATTCTGGAATCAACCCAAAACCAGGTAAGATACACTTCCTCAAGATTTTAAAGGTGGAAGAGAGAGAAAAACCTACTTTGTAACTGCTGTTCTGTTAAGAGAGATGGTAGCTGCCGGCAACTCAGCGTTCCTGTGTCAACACCATGGCTTTGGCATGTCATGCTCCAGTCATAGTGGCGGCAGTGACACTAGTTGCTGTTTCTTGACCTCTGGATTCCAGTGATGCTAGTGACCTTGAACTGGCTAAGGTCAGCTGTGAATCCTTGCCTCATGCTCCCCACATCTTCAAATAAATTGTAAGCACTCAATTCCTCATATTAAATCCTTCCATCTGGAAATATCTAGAGTAAAAATAGCTTGTTTCTTGCATGAAATCTGACTAATTCTGAATTTGGTTTCCAATCTGAGGTTTAATATAGGTACTGCATCATAGGGAATTTTTGGTGGCCCTTGCCTTCTCATGGGGCTTTCTGGTCACCAAACCTGCACTTCCTTTTAATTGTCAAATCTATGTGCATTTTCTTTTATTTGTGGTACCGGGGTTTGAACTTAGGGCCTTGTACTTGTTAGGTAAGCACTCTGCCACTTGAGTCATGCCTCCAGCCCGTTTAACTTTAGTTTGTCTTCCAGGTAGGGTTCCCACTGTCTTTGCCCAGCATGGCCTCAAACTGTGCTCCCATCTGCCCTGTTTCTGAGATAGGGTCTTGTTATTTTTTTTTTTTTTTTGCTGGGGCTAGCCTTGAACCATGATCCTCCCAAACTCCACCTCCCAAGCAACTGAGATTGTAAGAGTGAGCCTCTATACCCAACCTTCATATGCATTTTAGAAGAAAATTTGATTTACCTACAATTAAATCATCAATCTTTTTGGGAAGAGCAGCCAACCACCAAAAGTCATGGCAGACCCTCTTTTTTCCATTAGAAAGATGAAGTCAGGTGTGCAAAGAGCAAGCCCCCTGAATCCTGTTCTGATCAAGCCATTGGTAAAACCCAGGCCTCAGAAAATCTCTGGGAATGTTATTTTTTCAAGATACACTATTGATTAGGTAGATTTGGCTCTCTGGTTTTCTAAGTTCTGCTTTTAACCACTCTTTGAGGCCCTCATCCAGGCAAGCTCCCCATTGACTGGACAAGTTTCCCCAAGGTCACTATTGATTAGACAAGTTGTCCCAAAGTCACTATTGATTGGGCAAGTTTTCCTAAAGGCATTATTGATTGGACAAGCTTTCCTAACTAACGTCGCTATTAATTTGGTAAGTTTTCCCAAGGTCACTATTGATTGGACAAGCTTTCCCAAGGCTGCTCTCTTTGAATTACCATGACTGTTTGCATAGCATTTCATGCCAGTTAAGGGCTGGCATATGCCCTGTGCATGGCCCAAATGGCTCTTGGGTTTTCTCACCATCAGAGGAGCACTGACTGATGAAAACCTGTAGTGGAGCCCAGGGCTGTTGCCCACAGATCTGCCTTTGTGGGGATTAGGATTGTTACCCTGGTGTGGCCTATCTCCCAAAGACAGACTTGTGCACAGCCATCCTTCAAGAGCAGCAAACTGAGATGATTGGCTGGACCCTGCACCCAGACACTTCCTGATGCTGACATGGGGCATGCACTTGGGGAAGGAAGGTGATGTTCTGCTGGCTCATTCTCACAGACCCAAGGGTCATACACACGACTTAAAGTCCACCTGTAAACTCCACCATAGTGAGGGAACAACACCCCTCCCTTTTTACCACAGTCTAAGATGAACATTCTATGATTTCTTCAAGGCATTCTTAGTGTCCACTCGTTCAGCAGACAGCTATTGCAGTTTCCTACGCAAGGTCTCAGGGTAAAAAGAAGAGCCAGAAACAGTCCATGGGCTGAGGGAGCTTAGAACACTTGAATGAGCCAAATAAGTGTCAGGCAGCAGTGAGGAACAGGGGAGAGCGTCAAGTATGGGGCTCAAAAGACCTAAATTCAAGTTCCAGTTCTCATGCCTACTAGTTGTGGAGACTTAGCTAAACTGTGCAGACTCTCAGCCTCAACTGCTTTGTCTATGAAATGTAAGGAGGGAGGGTTCAATGAGCCCACTCTGTATACACAGTAACATTTATTTATCTGTTATTTTGGCAGCACTAGGGTTTGAACTCAGGGCCTCACACTTGCTAGGCAGGTGCTCTACCACTTGAGCCACTCTGCCAGTCCTGTAATGTTTATCATTACGCTCTGTTATAGGGGCTGTGTGGAAGTGCACATGTGGTCTGCAGGAACACAAAGGAGGGTGTAAGAGGAGTGCTGCCTGACTTAGGGGAAAGCATGAACTCTGACTTGACCCTATTTCCAGATGAAAGTTTCTGGAGGAATATCTACCCGACTTCTGGTGTTCATATACTTCTGGAGTTCACTTTAAATGTCCTGAAGGGACACTGAGTTCACCCAGCTTTAGAAATAGCTCCCAGTGCTCCAAAGCCTGGGATTTCTATACTCCAGTGTATCTCTTTCCCTCTCCCCCTTCCATCTGGTCTAGATTGTAAACATGGACAGCCTTTACTCTGGTCTGCATGTTCTCACCAGTGGTCTTTCTAGAACAGAAACTTGGCCTTGCTCCTCACTCCTATGAGGTCTCCTTGGGACCCCTGCCTCCTTCAGGATAAAATCTGCATTCCTTAGCATGGCTTGTATGACTGTCAGTGGTGTCTGCCTCTCTTACCAGGCTTATCACATATCTCTCCCATTCATGTTACCCCTTAAGCTATAATCACACCGGCCTCCCACCTGCACTGCTATCTCTCTCTACGGTTTGGCACACACCTTCCTTTGCCTGAATTATTTTACCTTCTGTCTCCCTCCTGACTTTGAAGGTTTCCCTCAGAGATGGGTTTATCAGCTTTTGTCACCATAACAAATATGTGAAACAATCGGCTTATAAAGAGGAAAGGTTTATTTTGACTCTCTGTTTGGAAGGGTTTATTCTACAAGTGGACCGATTGGTTAGCGCTTAGCGTCCATCATGGTGGAGTGTGTGGCAGACCAGAATTTCTCACCTCCGTGTCCAGGCAGCACAGAGGGATGACTGATGGCACTGGTACCACAGGCCTGCACTCTGCTTCTCTTTTGCTCTCCGTCTCTGGAGTGACCGCCACTGCCTTCCTCAGTCCGAAGCTCCTTGTCCACAGCATAACGGGAAGACAGATGGAAGCAGAAGATAGTGACCCTTCCTAACCACCAGGGAAGTCAGTGTGTCCCTGCTGTAAAGTGGCTCCGGCCCCCCTTTCAAGCCTACCAGTCTGCTGGGTGTCCCCATTTCACTGCCTCTAAGTTCCTTTTCTTTTTTCCACAAACATCCCTTTTCCTCCCAACCACTCACTCTCCCCTCGACATCTAGTTTTTCAACTGCCAACCACATCTTCTCTCTCAGTGCTACTGCCTTCCACAAGGCCCCAGAAAAGTGCTGTCATGAGCCCTCCTTCCTGCTTCCTCATGTCTTCAGCCTTCTACAGTATCCTACACTGCTATTTCCAGCCAGTGCTTACCAGAGTTGATCCTTTTTTTTTTTTTTTTGTGGCCCTGGGGTTTGAACTCAGGGCCTCAGGCTTGCTAGGCAGGCGCTATACCACTTGTGCCACTCCACCAGCCCTTTTTTGTGATGGGGTTTTTTGAGATAGGGTCTCAAAAACTATTTGCCCAGGATGGCTTCGAACCATGATCCTCCTGATCTCTGCCTCCTGAGTAGCTAGGATTACAGGTGTGAGACACTGGTGCTTGACCTGATTCTTACTTTTTAACTTTAACTGTGCTTCTAGTGTGGAAAATTTCAACTGTACACACGCAGAGATAGAAGTAGAATGGATCGCCATGTATCCATCACTCAGATGCAATAGTATTGATTTATGGCCAATCCTGATTCATCCCTACCCAAAGTTCCCTCCCTCTCCTGAACCTCCCATCATCATTGCCAAAGGCTGACTTTAGAGCATTGTATCTTTTCATCTGTAAATTGTCAATATTCATCCCTAAAGATAAAGGCTCTTAAAAATAGCCACAAGACATGTAACAACTAAGTAGCACCAAAATCGAGTTACCACTCCAACGTCCCCAATTACCTGATCAATGAGTTTTTAATGTGAGTTATCACACAAATAAGAGCCGTACACATTTTATTTGGTTTGTATGTCTCTTAAGTCTTTTAAGATCTGTAATATTTCTCTCCCTCCCTCCCACACCATTTATTGGTTGAGAAGGCTAGGGAACTTGTCCTATGAAATCTTTCCATTCTGGGTTTTGCTGATTGCTCCACCACCTATGAGGAAGTTGTAAACACCTGCCCCCTTACCTCACAGTACTGTTGACATCAGTAAGCTCATGTATGGACATTGTTCTGCTCAACAGAGAAACTGCATTTTAAATGCTCTTAAAAAACCAAGGTCACACGCCGGTGCTCGCACACATGTTTATTAAGACGCAGCCAAGTGAGACGTGTCAGCCCCTTCTTTACTGCTGTGTAATGAGGCCCAAGGGCTGGACACACTACATAATCAAAATCAAACGCCAGCTTTGTAGAGACATGGCCAACGCAGCACAGTGCCAAACACCATTCGAAGCTGCAAGAAATCTGAGAGTTTCATACTCTTGCTTTTTTATTGTAGTTGACATATGCATTTTAATTTTGATGCTTATTGCAGAGTCACATGTTAAAGAAAACAAAAAGAGCTCTTATTCTAATTCAGCAGAGAGCAGGGCCATTGGTGTGAAGACAACACAACACAATACAGCTGCTTTTCCTCCATCATTACCTATACAAGAACACGCTCCATTCATAGGGCCTCTAGTAACACGTGCACATGGAGCGTGGTGTGGGTTTCCACCCAGAGTCTTCTCTTTATTCTGGGTCCTTATCCTCCTCTGAAAAATGGGGCACAGACTTCTTTGCGACAACATTGTCCAGCCTCTGTCCTTCCAGATATGGATTGACACTCTGAAAAACAGTTGGTTTGGTATTACATGTGTACATCAGATACAGACATCACACAGAGGAAGTGAACGACAAGTGTTTCTTGCCTATTGGGTTAACAAGAAGGTAAAGTGGTACCTACCACTTAAGCCACCACTTAATTTTGATGCTTATTGCAGAATTCACATAAAAAAAAAAAACACCAAATAGCTCTTATTATAATTTCACAGAAAGCAGAGCCATTGGTGTGAGAACTCCAGGGCACTAATTAATACCTCAGTGGCCTGAGAAACAGTCTCACTAAATAAACTCACTAATCAAGTCTTTTACACAACCATAGAGTTTTTATCAAATGCCATGTGGTCTTTTTAAAAATTATTATTTTTAGCAAAAAAATTTGGGGTGAACCAGCTAATAAGTTCTTGCTACTAATTTAGAATGATTATTCTATGGCCCTATGTATATGATAGAGGGAATCTGAAATGTGCTAAATTATTTTACCAGAAGAGTGTTCTAAAGTAGATGACAAAGTGAGGCCACATGGGAGTCTGCATCTGAGGACTGGCCACAGATCATCCGTGGCTGTGGCCAAGTCTCCCATCCAGTTCTCCAGCAAACAGAGACCACCAGGGCCTCTGGCTCTCATTTCCACCTTCCTAAGTCAAATTCAAAAGCTGAAGAAAACAAGGAAGTTATCTGGAAGACTCTGTGCTTTGACCCAAGCCTCCATACTCGGAAATCTCTTTTATCTGCTGATATTCTGAATGACTCAAGGTTTTTCCATTCCTTTCCTAAATGCATATCTATTTCTTGAGGTTTGGATTTGAACGAGTAATTGGAGCTTGACAGCATAGTTTTTAGCGAGCAGAAAAAAATTTCAAAGTTTTGGAAGATAGTTGTTTACAGAAGTTGCCTTCCAGTAATGAACAAAAATGCAAGAAGTAAGCTGCAGTTACAGATGCTCAGTGGTCACGTTGTCTCTAAGCCCCATGAACCAGTGGCGCAGTTTGCAGGTGGGTGGGTTTCCTGGCCTGGGGGATGTGGTGGGCCAATGACCCACGTGAAAGGTGACCTGACACTCTCCAAAAGAGAAGGAATGGAACCTGAGCTTGGCATTTGTAAATATCCTTCCACTTTTGACTCATAAAAATATGAATCATGAAAAATCCAACTCACTCTGCAAAAAGTGTATCACAAACAAGGTGAAAATTACCAAGCAAGCAATGTTCTCACATCTTTGAAAAGTGACACGTCACAAGAAGATAGTCATCTCTAAAATATTCAAAATAATGCCTTTTCTATTAGAGATTGTTAACTGTAGTGTTCTGGCCTACCCCAGGGGATCATATCAGAATCTCTGGGTAGGGAAAACAAATGTGTCTGTATATTCAATATCATAAATATTTTTCCTATTTAGTAGTAATATTTATTCTGAAAATTCTAGTATGTTAAAAGAGAATATGAGCTGTTCGTATTTATCAAATAAGGGATTAAGAGGCTGATAAACTGTTTAAATATGATAAATAGTTGGTCTCAAGTATTAATAAGATAGAGCTTAAGAGTTAAAAATTTTGCTAAGTCATTTAAAGGTAACCTGATTTTCTGAGATGCAGCTAGGGAGTCAAATGGACTTGAGTGTTTATAAAAGTCACATAATACAACCTGGGGCTCAGTTGTAACTTTAGGGAGAATCCCTCTTGGAAGGGACCTTTAGAGAATGAATCCTGCTGCCCAGTCCTGGATGTTGTCAAAGGTTAGAGGTAAAGAGAAGAGAATTAATGAGGGAGAAAATATTGTTCTTTTTTAATTATGTTCTGCAGAACTTAAGGCCCTTAAATAGCTATCTTCTCACCAGGTGAGAGACTGGTTAGTTAGGCAGAGGACATTACACTCATTTTACAACAGGCAGAGCCATTGGGAATGGTCCCTTGCTTTTGCTGTGGTCTGGAAACCCTCAGCAGATGCTTAGCCTCACTGGAGAAGACTTGACTTCTCAAACAAGTCCATAATTTCTTTTACTGATTCACGCTCCTGGGTAAGGTCTCAGGCAGATGGGCACAACATCTGAGATCTGATGGGGGAGTGCAGCTTCTGCTTCCTCACAAGTCCTCATGGCTTAAGGCATGAGCCTGGGTCTTTACAGAAGCCTGAGGATGGGAAGAACTTGATACCTTGGGTCGAACTGACCCTTATTTTCCTAAATTCTAGGCCTTTCCTATGTGGAGGAAGTTGAGGCTAAAGTAAAATCCTTTATAACATGTGTCTTAGCCAGAATTCTGAGTTTTGGTAACCACTGAGCTCATGGAAAAGTGACCTAAAGTTGACCTTAATTCACTCACTGAGTCAGGGCAGCAGGAACAATGGGCCGAGAAGTAGAGACAATTAAAGCTGCATGCTAAATTATTCATTTGGGGTTGGTCATTGGTCTTATTTTGAAATGTCCTTGTTGTGCCATGGGGAGCTATTCAAGCCATCTTCCTGGTAAATTATGTGTATTGTAAGCTCTTAGAATAGAATTTCTTGATGTTCTCTCAAGAACACATTACACTCTTCCTGTCACCATCTGCCATTGGAAGCTGTAATCAACAAGAAAAACCCCTAATAACCCTGTTGGCTCTCCCAAAGAAGATCTGTTTCCAGATGTAACAACTTTCTGTTTCTCACAAAGGAAACTCACTGTGAGTTATGTAAAGCAACACAGGGTCTTGGAACTGTCAGCTGTAGGGGCCTTAGGAATTATATTGAGGCCAGAAAATCTACACCTCTTTAAGCACTCTGACTGAACCTGGCAAAACTATGACAAATCGCCACAACTACCACTGTCCAGATCCCCAAATTTCCTCCAAGATCCAGGCACTTGCTGTTCTGAATAAACAGTCAGTGGCCTTGGGTATGTGGTGAGTTTTGTATATTTTAACGGACATGGTTAATGTCTTGTGGTACTGTACTGTGTAATATGTGGGTTTTCCCCCCTCCACCTGGTCATGCAAAAGAGACAAGTGTGCAAGTCCTTGGATTACCAGAATAAACACTAACAACTTTGTAAATCTAAATGCCCTAATGCACTAGAAAGGCAACGGAAACTCCACACGCAGGCAACACCATGTATGTGGTAGCTAAATGTGGAGCGCCTAGGCCTCAGTCCCAGTACACCAAGTGGATTTCATTTCCATCTGGCTCGGCCAAGAGAACAGATAACATGAGAGAGGCGAAGTGTGTTTCTTGCACATTCAACACCATGGCCTGAAGTACGCAGTTTAACACTTCCTTACTCCTGTCTTGTAATTGCAGATGGGTGGCTACAGATCACCTGGTGTGACAAGACACAGTCATGTATGTACTCCCTGCATCCCCTCCCCAGGAGGTTACCATTCACATTTCCTCATCCCCACAAAGCTGGGTATCCCACTAAAAGTCCTGTGCTGTAGCTTGGGGAGGCCCTCCCAGGCACCAATGGTGGACTTTTTGGGCCCTCAGCACACAGGACTACTGTTCTGCCCTCAGGACTGCAGAAGAGAGACTTCTGCTACTTCCTGGAAACAGAGGTCTCCAGCTTGTCAGCTGCCCCTCTCAGAGGACAACAACCCCCAACAACAACCGGGGGCCATCTTACCCTCCGCTTCCGTCTCTGTCCTCCCTTCATCTTCTCATAGAGGAGTTTCTTGTTCTGGAGTGGGAAGAAAAGAAAACACAAATGCAGAAGTATGGAATGAGTTTGGCGAATGTCTGTTTTAAAAGCAATCCTTGGTGTGTCCCCTGGATATTTGCACTCACATATTTTGGAAACAAAGCAAGATGAAAGGAATGTCGTGTCAGAAAGATAGACCACAAGAGAAAAGCTGGTGGCTGAGCAGCTTTTCATAAAGTCCTCTAGGCCTGGAGGCACACAGTGTCATCAACAATCGTATGACAGGAAAATACGGTATTCTGAAAGGCAAGGGCTCCGGAAACCCTTCTCCTTGCTCTGGATAGCCTTTGTTTGAAGTAGATAATTTTATCTCAGCATCTAACTCCCTTTTTATGAACTGTACACATGGCAGCTCTGTAGGGCAGCGTCTGACTATTAACCTCTGTGTAAAAAAATGTGACGTTGACTGACTGCTGCAACCATTCCTTCTAGGCTCAAGTCAGTGCCCCAGTCAGGACAATTGAAAAACCACTCGGTCTATAACAATTTTAATAGAGTGAACCTTTTAAAAACTGCCAAAAGAACTTCTTGGCAGAAAGGATGGTTATGTTGAGGGGAGAAAAAGGGCTCTGGAGCTGCCGTTTGTGTAAGTGTTCCCACATATTGCTGCATTTCAAACACACAGTGGGCTTAAATGAGTCTAGAATATCAGACACATGCTCAACAAATTTCCCTCTATCGAGATTATAAAAGACAGAACACTTACCCTGAAGGCAGATCAGGAGAAGGGGATTTCGGTGTTTGTTTTATTTATTTGACTTTTGAATCAGAAGGAAAACAATGTATAAAAGAGATGATTTGTCTTGCTCTAAGTAAAATACCTTGATATTAACTTGAAAAAAGATCTGAGGAGGAACAAGTTCAAACAACGCTTGTGTCCCTGAGCCGTCTGGTTAGAGATTTTTTCTTTTAATGGTGGATTTGAATGTGGAAATGACAAATGCCAGGAATGAGCTCTGTCCTTTCCTCCTTCACTGAAATGTACCCCACCTGCGATTCACCATGTGTATCCCTGGCTAGCCTCAGCTATGCAGGGAGGCTGGGCCTCCACTGCCAACAGTGCCTCCACCTCCTGCTCAGTCAGGGGATGGATCAGGTGATATCAGAAGGGAGGAAAGGCAGGCTTAGATCGGTGGGTCCCTCAAGGAATGAGGCTATTGCTTATTCCCTTCATCCTGTGAACGCAAACAGTTGTGTGCACAGAGATTGTCCTGGGTTCTCTGCCAGAGTTAAGGAAGGGAGGCTGGGGGTGGGACTGGTGAGGACAAAAACTCTTCACATGCATCATCAGGTTCAGTGGCCTGAGCTGGAGGGACAGCAGAGGGGTGCCATGGAGCAGGCAGCACAGCATAGGGAAGGCAGGGTGAAGCAGTATCCATTCAATCACCTTTAGATCTTGGGCCAGCCTGCTCACAAGCCAGCCTTCACTCAAAAAGAAATGAACAGGTCTCACAAGTCTTCCTCTCGAAGGTGTTCCTGCATTTCTCTGAGAGCGAGGGTTAGGACTAACCGCCTGATGACAGTGGCTGGGTATTCTCCTTCAGCCCTGTTACCGTGTGGATTAAAAGGCAGAGGTTGGTAGGGATGGTTTGGGTAAAAAAATGTATACATAACATATGAGAAGAAGCCACCATCATCTGTTGTTGATTCTTTGTGGGGAGGTGGTGAACTATTCTCCACATGAATAGCAGGTTTAAGTGCATTATAAGAGCTTCCATTGTGCCAACAAAATTTTAGATGACTGCCCAGTTCTGGGGGCACAGGGGTGCTTCTTAGAGAAATGCCCAATTCCAGGGCTAGGGTAGGGGAAAGTACAGGATAAATGAAGGTGGAATATCTAATTAGGTCAGAAGGTAAACAAATGTTAAAAAATGATCAAGTCCTGTCAGAAGCAAAGAAAAGCACCTTGAAAGGATTTCGACCTGACATTGTGAACATCAAAATTATATAGCAATGGGAATCTACAAATCCGTACAAGTACCAAATAAATAAACAAACATACAAACAATAACAAATAAGGAATGAAACAATAGATAAATAAGTAAGTAAATAAATAAATAAGCAAGCAGGGAAACTTGCTAGGAGTACAATGTCAATACAGAAAGAGCAGGGAGCAAGAGTCACAATTTATCAGTGTTACAGTTGATTCTGCTAGTCATCATCAATGGATGCAGAATTTCTTGGTTAAAAGCTTAATGGGGAACAGAGTATTTATGCAGTCTTGAAGTGTATTCCCACACATCAGCTATGAATTGCAAATGGAAATTGATGATTTTACACTGTAAAAACACGGAGGACATCACCTTAACAACGGGAACACACTTAATACTACCAGTCATGGGGCAAATAGCCAACACATGTTTCCCTGATGTAACGTCCTAAGAAGGATGTGTCAAAAAAGTCACAACTACGTGGAAGCTGAAAAAGTCAGCCTCATAGAAGTGAATAGAACAGTAGTTACCAGAGATGGAAAGGAGGTGCAAGGGGTGAGATGGAGAGAGAACTGCTAACGATAAGAGGTGAGGCTGACAGGAGGAACACCTGTTAATATCCTATAGCACACTGAGCCTTGGAGAACAACAATCAACGTGTATTTCAAAATAACTAGTAGAGGGGATTTCGAATATTCCAAATGCACAGAAATGACAAATGTAGACATGCCAACTACACAGATGTTCTCATTACACATTGTGCATGTGTACTGACATATGACACTGCATGCCATAAATATGTACACTTATTATGTGTCAATTAAAGGAAAACTCTAAAGGCATGACTCAAGTCTAGTCACATGGAAGCCTGCGATAAACCCTCACTGAAGAGTGTTAGACTCGTCCAACATGGTGAGATCTAGAAAGACAGAGTCATAGAAGAATCGTGTCGTTCACATCTTCCATTTCAGGCTTTGGCTACAATCAAGTATAGATGAGAAGGTGCGCCAGGCATTTGGAAAAGAGACACAACTTTTTCTTAAGGGAATAATACTCAGCAGTGAACATACAGAGGGGAGAACTGACATTGCAGCAGCCAGCCTTTGATGACAGTATGTCACGACTATAGTTCCACACTGTCTGAAAGACAACCAGCCCTCCACAGGACTTGATAGCACCATTTCCCAGGTCACATCACGGAGCAGTGAGCCATGAAAAGGTTTTCAAAGAAGTCTGGAGTCAGATGCCTGACAGGGTTCAACTCCCAGCTCTGCCAGTCAGCAGCTCTGTGTGGCTGAGCAGGGCTCCAGCAACCTCAGCCTGAATTTGCTCATCTGTAGAAGGAGAGTGATACCCAGGAGCAAAATGAGACAAATGCTGGGGAGCATTTACCTCAGTGTGTACACGGTACACTCTCAATGAATACTACCATCTACTGCTGTACTGCATGGTACAACTTTATTCACCGGTCTATTCCCAGTACCTTACGTGGGCCAGAAGGCAGGTGTGTGCATTTAGTGTTCGGTGAGGCCACAACAAAGAGACAGACATGCAGGAAACAAGACAGACGCTGATATTTATACCACGTGAATCATTGCTAGAGCTGCAGCTCAGCTTGGGTGATGTCAAAAGCAGGGTCTTTGTGCCATTTTGATGAGAAAGATGACTGGCTTTGTTAACTTAAAGGACAGAAAGATGGGGCTGCAGACAAGCTTGGGAGCATCATTCTATGTAAATACTGAGAAAAGTTTGTGGAGCCCAGTTTGAAAAGCAAGACATAGTCAATTCACACTTCCCTGTGAAGATCAAGCAAATCCTGTTTTACTGCTGAGTGGTAATGAGAAAATAAACAAGGAAACCAAGGTTTAAACAACACATTATTACAGCTGATTAAAGGTGTGTAAGTGCTGTTCCTGGTCATTGATCTGTGAGAGCACTTTTGCTTTTACATATGGTCCCAGTCTTTAGTGATGATGTAGATCACAAATGTGAATGACTTAGAGAAATACAGCCAGAAATTAAGAAGGAAGCAGAGAGAATGGTTGGGAGTGAGTGGAACATGGCAAGAAAAATCTGTGACAGTTGTCAAGAGGCCAGGAAAGTTGAAAAGAGAGAGGTTTCCATCTCTCCCACTCCATCACACCACTGATTGACTCTCTGCCCACACTCAGACCTTGTCTCAGTCTTCTTCTTTCTTCCCCACTGAGACTTCAGTGCTGAGAGTAAGTGCCTTGACACCTGTGATGGTTACCATACCACAATCGGCCACACTGGTCCTGGGCCTGGATCTTTCTCTGTCCTTGCCTTCCATCTTTCCTGGCAATTACACCCTAGCCCTCATAGCTCAGCTAGAATATTAGGTGGGCTAATTTTATTTTCATGCCTCTTTGAAAACCTGTTCCATTTCACAATGGATAGTCTACATGGAGCACCAAGCACAGTACCTGAAATGAAGCAGGCCCCTACCTTCTACCTGCTCCTTGTTGAACCTGGCCCTTGCTTTCTGCCTTGCAATACTTTGCCCACCTCTCGTGGATCCCTTCCAGTACTCCTCTGTGATCTAATCCTTCTCATTCTCTGCTCTTTTCTGTCCTTCCCTCATCCCTCTCTTTTTCCTTTTTAAAATGTCCCCAGGGGAAAAGTTCATACCATCCACTTCATGTAGACTTGGCATATCCCTTCTTTCCTCTCATGTTGGTTTTTTTGTTTGTTTGTTTGTTTGGGTTTTTCTGTGGTACTGGGGTTTGAACTCAGGGCTTTACACTTGCTAGGCAGGTGCTCTACTGCTTGAGCCACTCTTCTGGCCCACTCATGCTGTTTTTATGTGATATAAAAATTCTAGTTAGTTCTTCCCCCTTTGAAACATTGTGGATTCCCTCCTTCACTATGATCACAGCCATTCCAACTGGACTTACTTTCTGTATTTTCTTCCTGTCTTTAGTTTCTTCTCCTTCTATTTTACCTTTCAATGTGCCACCAAGTCAGCTTTGACAGAAGGGTTTTCTTCCTATTCAAGAACCTACAGAGATTTTTCTGTTTAATTCTACATGTTTTAACTAGTGGGCTTGAAAATGGTTCAATGAACCAATTGTCCCTGGTAGAAGCAGAACTGCTTAAAGAGAGAGAGAGAAACAGAGAGCGAGGTGGGGGGGGGGCGGGAGGGAGGATGGTGGAGATGCAAAATTAACTTAGAATGTGCACTTGGTTGGTTGGTGATGAAGACAGAGGAAATTGACTCAGGGCAATGCAGATCAACATCCCAGAGAAAATGAAAGTGGTTGTTAGTCACAAGAGACTTCTTCCTCTAACAATGCAGAAGGAAGGGAGGGAGATAAGTGGGCTGAGTGAGCAAGGCTCAGGAAGTCTGGGATATCTGCTGGTTCACGTATTCACTCACTCACTCTGCAGACAGACCAACTGATGACCTGCTATTTTATGTGAACCACCACTGCTCCCCATTCTCACATGGCTTCAGCGTTTGAGGCAAGGTTCACTCACAGGAAGCTAGACATCCCCACTCAGTTTAATCTGGTTTGGCTCATTGTTCCAGCCTGCTGGGAGCTTCATGAGTCTCAGCTCTGTCATCCACTGTTATCCCTTTCAATTTTGTGTCATCCTCCGAGAATCTGATAAGCACATGTGTTATAATTTTCTACAATCATTGAGAAAAAACAATGTGGAGCGGGATAGCACTAAGCATGTAGGAAAGTTTCTCTGCCTGTTGACATGGATTCTTTAATAAGCTTCCTTTCAGGGCTATTCTGTGCCTAGGTGGTGTCTCTCTATCTACTCCAATAGAAGATCATAAAAGATCTTGTCAGAGAACTTGCTGAAGTTCAAGTGTGCCATGCCCACCTAATTTCCCTCATGAAGCTGGCACAGGTATGAAGATGCTGGCGAGTGGAAGAACACAGCTGACTGACAAAACTTATCTAGCCAAGTGGTCACTTCTCTTTCCGAGTGCTTATAGACAGCTCGCTTAGCTGACAGCGACTGACAGCAAACTCACTGCTACACCTTTGGAAAATTCTCTTTCCACAAAGCAGAATTATCTGTCTGTTTCTAATCTGGGGCGTCTTGTTTCCTTGATATTGGCAGAGATCATTTCCCTTAGTCTAGAAATCAAATTTGTGAATTTTCTCAATATCTTTTTTTAAAAAAGTCATTTACTCTTGATAAAATCCCACGAGTGGCATGAAACTCTGGTGTGACCCGAGGATGTGTTGTGACACAAGTTGTGGGGTAGAGCAGAGTGGCAGGCTCTAGAGACTGTAGCTGCCGTGACTGGTTCCGGTTGCAGTCCATCTCTTTGGGTGAATTTTGTGTATTGCTGCACAGACACACTGGTGAGGATTGGAGTTGTATGGCTTAAGCTCCCTGTCAACCAGAGATTTCTGAAGAATCAGCTTCTGTTCAATTTTTCACCTCTCCCTCCACCCACATCGTTCATCTCTGACACTGGTCCCCTCAAGAGCACCAGAGTGCAGTCTACTGACCAGACTTACCCACTGACCAGACTTACCCACTTGCCCAAGCCTGGGTAGTCATGCTCAGGATCGAAAAGGTGCTGGTGCAGCTGGAATTCCCGACTGAACTCGGCTGTGTCCGGGGTGTTTTCTAGACATCCGTCATCTGCTGAAAACAGCCAGTGGTGTTTGAGGAATGCAAACGTCTCTTGTTATTTACTCTGAGTTAATTTATCAGAACCATCCACACATGCAAAGACCAGAATCTGCTCAATCACTCCAAATCTCTTTCCCTCTGTGGTCCAACTCCCACTCCTGGAGCACAGACCTAGTGGTTCTTCACCAAACCCTCTTCCCTTTCCTCCTTGGCACACAACTGGGCTAATTTACTGGCCTTGCTTTACAAGTAGGTGAAGCCGCATGAGCTGAGGTCAACAGAATATAGGCAAAAGTGATGCATCCCATGAAAGACTCTCAAAAGGTTCTCCTCTCCCCCCCGACAAGTGATGGTGTGCGATCTGCATGCTAGCATCCATGGCAACTGTGGGTGTCAGGTTCAAAAATGATAGCTTGGGGTACAGAACTGTCCACATCCACCATACCCTCACCTGCCTCTGTTAGGACTTCATACAATTGTGAAGAGCCACCAGAATGTTTTATCTGTTATATCAGCAAGTGTCTCATTAAGTAGGTGCACTTCCATTCCACACAACTCACTGGTTTCTCTTGGGTGAGCTCTTTAGACAGCTCTTCAGCAACTGCTTCATACAATAACAAGATCAGTTCCCACACTGGGCTTGATGTTGTGTATTATGGCAGTAATGAGTGCACTCTGGAGTTAGAGAGATCACAGCTCAAGGGTCGAATCCCAGCTCATAAGGGACAGATGGCGAAAGTTAACCTGGCCTCTGTTTATCCACCTGTGAGATAAACAGAGGTCTTCTCTAAGCCCTATCATTACCAGGCATGATACTCTAAATTGAGTCATTGTTTTCAGTCTCTTATGTGCTACAGACGACAGCTTTAAAAGGTGTGGGAGGGACTAGAGGGCTGGAGTTGTAGCTCAGTGGTACACTGAGTGGTACAAGCATGCAGAGGGCCCTGGGTTCAATCCCAAGCACCACAAGAGTGGGAGGGAAAGAAGGGAGGACATTTTGTGCAGGGCTGGGGAAGAAAGAGAATCTCCTTTCAAAGTCGATGCTGAAAGCGAGCGAGGTTGTTGCTCTCAGGACTGTAGGTGTGCAGAAGGGCAGCTCTTAACAGCACAAAGCCAGTGTGCTGTTAGGGTCTGAACAAGTCCCCATGTGACTCTAATGTGGCTCCCCGTTCTCACAGGGCTATTTCTAGCTTCTTCATGAATGGCCACTAACGTGTAGGACAGGAGTACCACACAGTGTTTCAGAAGTCTGCAGATGGCAGCTTCGCAACCTTTTGATAATGGTTTCTCAAGTGCTTCTAAGTGGGCCAAGACTGTGAGGTGGAGATAGAGCCACCCCAAGCCAGTTCATTCCACTTGGGTTCCCTGCTGTGGGAACCTAAAATCTGGGGCCTGAAAATGTGCCCTAGAACTCACCTCCTGGAGAGATTCACTCTTGGGCCGTGCTGCTCTGTGCAGGGTTTGTGAATCATGATTCGCAGGAAAACAAGATAGGGGAGGGGAAGCCAAGCCTTCATTCTTGGATTGCTCAACCTCGCGGCACTGTGTCACACATGATTCTTTGCAAGGGATGTCTCAAGCAATTTCTCACAAATAGAGACTAAATTTAGCAAGCGATGTCCCTTTTAGATTACAAATTGTGGTAGAACAAATAATGTGGAATATGTCAGTTTAATGGAATGATAGCAAAGGAAACAGCAGATCATGTGTGACACAAGTTTCTGAAGCTGGGGTTTATCCACCTGCATCAGCCTGCTTTGATTGCTTCTTCTCGGCAACCTAAGCGCTGGATTACTTAGGTCGTTATTTATTTTTCTTTTTTCATGGCAACCTTAAACTGCACGGTATGTTTCTTTCTTGCATAGACCATGCCATCCTTTCACAGGAGAGGAGACTGAGGCTCAGAGCAGTGAAGTGACATGCTGTAGGGAACACTGGAACTCAGATGTCCTGGCTCCAACTCCAGGTCTCTCTCCATTCTCTTACAACAGTAGGCTTCAAGCTTTATCCGCACATGGAATTTGTGGGGTGGGGCCTGAGACTCTGCATTTCGATTAAGTTCCCACCGTACTTTAAGAACCACTGAGCTTCCGGGATTTAATCAATGCAACCAGACACCCCCCCCAAGCAGGGACTCTAACTGTCAAAACTCTGAGGTCTTTCTAAAAAGCTACCCAGATCCCTATAAACATGTAAAAGGAGGCTGTGGTCATTGGATTTGGGTTTTCCTGCTATCCTGTGCCAGCAGCTACACATTGGCTTGGTCACATCCACTATTTTGGTTGTCATATCCCTAGGTGGGAGCTCTGGGTCCCAGGAATGATGGAGGCCTCACCTGATGTGAGAAGAAGTGCATCTTCATTCAGAGTCTTCAGAGAGCCTGCCTTAGAGTGGGTGTTAGCTTTTCCAATTTCTTCCCAAAGCCTTTACTTCCTATGGGGACCAAGGGCAGGTTCATTACCTGTTTTTCCAACTGGACAGGGATTGGGTGGGTCTGGGTATCCCTGGTCCTCACTGAAGTCCTTAGGAATGTTGTCACCAGTCAACTCTGCCACAATGTTGGGGATGTTGCCAAATGGACCCAAGTGCTGCAGACCTTCGTGAGCTCCACCTGCGGTGCGAGTAAATTCATTTACATAAGATTTATGCAGGCATGCCAGACAGACAACACACTGTGAGGAGAGAACCATAAATAAAAAATGTCCTATCCTCTAGGAATCCAGAGATTTAGCTGTAGAAACAGATCACACCACACAGATACCATTTCCACACATGGCAGATGGAATGTGTGTCATAACAGAAACAGTAAGCAGGGACAAAGAGTGAAAGAGGGCGAGTGTGACAAAGTGCATTGCATGTGTGTATGGAAACACCACAGGGAAGCCCCATGCTGTACAGTTAACATGTGCTAATAGGAAACATGGACACTAGGAAAGCTAAGACAGCAGTGTGGAGAATGGGAGAGCGAGGGGTCCAATTGGCTGTGGGATAAGAGGTCCCCTTAGATGAGGCAGGACTTGTGTGGGTGACACTGAGGTAGATGGGGAGGACTCTGGAGCTTGGAGAGGGGCGGGGAAGCTAGAGAGGCAATTGCCATCCTTGTAGAAGAGGCTCAAAGAATATTGCTGAAAAAAAAAGAATCCTGCCACTCCAGCACAACCACGTAAAGTTTGATGTAGTCACCCACTTTTCACCTCTGAATATCTTTTCACACAGAAATCTTCATGCACTTTTCATTTACACTGAAGCACCAACATCTTCCCATTTGTCTAGATGGGCTCTGTTCCTATAATTATAAATAACCAAGTACTTTTTTTCAATCCAGTATCTGTGCTGTGCATATTAACCATCCCTCTATTATGAGACAACGTAGTGTTTTGTAGCTTATTTTAGGCATTTAATTTTTTCCGTATTTTGGATTAATTTTCCTCAGGATAAATTCCCAGAAGTCAAATTGCTGGGTCAAAGGCTATAAACATTTTTATGGCTTATGCTATTCTACTGCCAACTGTCTTCCAAAAAGGAGGTAGTAATTTGCAGAATATCACCAAAATATGAGAATACTGTTTTTTTATGACATCCTCACTAGCACATTGGGTTTCAAAAATAATAAAATTTTATATTTTCTTTGCTAATTGAAATTTAGAAAAATTTAAATGTCATTGCTTTCCAGCTCAGATATTTCCCATGTGTAGTTTTTTTCATTTATTTACTGTACTCTGGTTTCTCTTCAGATTGTATAAATCTTTCACCTTTTTTCATTTATTTACTTATTTTATTTTTTGAGAAAGGGTGTCCCTAGGTATCTCTGACTAACCTGGAACTCAAGCCCCTCCTGCCTCAGCTCTGGAGTGCTGGGATCACAGCACAAAAGTGTACGCCATGCCAGGCTCCATTTCTTCCTTCCTTTCTTCTTTCTTCCTTTCTTCTTCCTTTTTTTACGACTTGTCTGTTTATGCTCTTGGAGTTAGAATGTTTCTCTTATCAATTTGTACAAACATTTTACAAATATTTTACCATGTTGTCTGACTTTGAATTCTGGCTGCTATTATAGTATTTTGCTAATATGAGTTTTTAATATTCATATACTTAGATTTGTTGCTTCTATTCTCCTTTGCAATTTCTGCTTGTCCTTCTTGACTTGCAAAATTGTTACCCTTCAGAAGCACTGTTGACATTTGGATATTTCTTTTAGTTTCTTAAAAAAAATTTAAATCAACTGATTAGTCCATATGTTATTTATTTTGGTATGCGTAAAATAGTTAACCTATTATCCCACTAGGATTTGTTGAGTAGTCTGTCCTCTCTACTTATGGCATGCCTCCAATAAACTTCTAAGTGTGTCATATGTACCCAAACCTTCCCAGAGCACCAAGAGCCAGCTGTGAACAAGAACAACTTATATGCCAGAACCTGCCTTACTACATAGACAAATGCGAGCCAATTTCCGGACTCTTTGCCTCTTGTCACCTTAGCATTTTATAAGGCTCAGGAAGCTTCTTTTTCCAGAAGACAGTAGATCACTTCATATTTATCAGCTCTGTTGGGACCCAGGAGTCCCTCACTCACAGCTGCCGTCACCACAGTCACCCTGTACACAGATATCCAGGGAGGCCACTCAAAATCAAAAGGTGACTTGTGTATTATACTCAAGTTAAAATACCTTCATGATTCGACCTCCACAGAAAGGATGTTCTTGCCAACTGGCCAAGTCCGGCTGGACCAGACTCATGCCCCTAGGTAAGCATGGATGCTCCCCTTTGAATGGACACATTTTTCCTTTAGGAATACAAATGTTACCACCAGATCCAATGCCCTGGGAATCCTGTTGTCTCCTTCAGCTCTGGCTGCATCACTCCATCTCTTTTTGTCATGTCTGATTAAAGTTTAACCTCGAAAGCACATGTCTAGCCCTCAAATTCATGGGCACCACCCAGTTGCTGCTGTTAATTTTGTTTATGTTTGTATTATACCTCATTTCTTTGCAATGAGAGCCTACAAAATTTATATATTTGAAAAAAAATGCCATTTCCTTTGAGGTCTCCTACATCATTATTTTTGTTAATTTTCCATATAAATATTTAAAATAAGGCACTATATATAACCCATAAATGTCTAAATATAGCCACTTATTCAACATTATGAATTGTATTCTTTTTGTCATAATCTGATGTTATATATTAAAATCTACCACTATCAATGAGAGTCTGTCAGTCTCTCACTTCTTACTGTTTTCGCTTTATCCCTTTGATGCATGCTAGTTGACATAAGCAAGGGTGTGAATCCTTCATTTTCATTGTGTTGGCAATTGTCTGTTAAATAAAGATTAACTCACAAGCCATGCTTTGATTCATGGTTCTCCTGCTAGATTCATACTCAGTGGATACTCTCATTTCACTGGTTTGCTATCCTTTACTTTTAACCTTTCTGAATCTTCCTGATGGCTAGTCCAGTGAACTCCATGTTAGCTGCTTTCAGTAGTACTCTGAGGATACACGTTTATCATTCCACATTAACCCAAAAGCTGCAGAATGAGAGCAGACATACCAATGCACTTGGTGCTGATATACTTGAAGCTTTGTATGATCTTGGCACCAGAGCCACCACTGTGCTGGTTAGAGGGCATGCTCTCTGGTGTGTCAACACATGCCTCAACTTTTGAAAGCACCCCAGCATTGGGTGCCAGGAATTATCCAACTTGGCTCAAGGAGGGAAGGCATGTCTTAATGCTCCATTAGCAATTAATGAAGGGAGCAAACACAGTTCCCTATGGAAGGTCTGCCAGGGCTCTGTTTACCTCTGTGCACCGGTGCCATTAGGATGAATGCAGCACTTGTTGGAATCAACAGATGTTTAGAAGCAGGCAGATACATTAGAACACAAGCTCTTTTCAGGCTACATTTAATGGCATCAAATCCAGACACACTCACTGAGTCAGGAATCATGGGAGACATGTACAAGTAAAAAGTGCTGTCCTTCACAATCCAGGAGCTAGAATTTTACAGATGACTAAACACATGTGGAAAATAATGTGATAAACATTATACACGTGTACGAAAATAGCATAATGACAAACACTAAAAACTGTTTAAAAAGGAGGGACCAAAGGGGCTTAAGAAAGAGTCATGGACAGGGTGAATTTGATCAAAGTGCATCAGAGCCATGTGGAAACACCACAGTGAAACAATTAAATTATACTAATAACAAGAAAATTACATAGTGGCATATCTAACCAAATGTTAGTTACCTAGTTCATTACATTGACTTATTACATCTGAAGCTAAGTCAACCAAAATGTTACCATGATATGGATGCTAGTTCGCCCATTCATCTTATTCTTCTTGACTACCTTATATGAATTGTACCAACAACAAAACAAATGCTAATCATTCAATCAATTAAAATATTTATTGAGAACATTCTATAAATCAAGATCTGGACTAAGTTCTAGAGGATCAATGATGAACCAGATTAATGTAGACCGTGCTTTCTTAGAGTTTACAGTTTACAGAGATACCAGAAATAAACACTTGTAATAATCATAATGCACTTATTGTGTTGTTGGGGAAAATATGGATGTCACCACTGTGTACAGTAGAAGTAAGTAGTCCAGACCTAGGCAGGGGAGATTTCTTGCACGGAAAAAATGTACCAATGGAGCTATGGAAAATAAAAATGGGAAAGACGTGGTTCCTGTTCTCTAGTTCGTTCTTCAGTCTACCTGGTTATTCAAGCTGAACACAATAAGCCAGTGGTGTGGAATAAGCTATATCCCCAGTGAAATTCATCATGGTATAGACAATAGATGGCAGTATAGACAGAAGACGACTGTAAAGGGCAGGCTGGAGGGAAGTTAAGAAGACCTGCCCTAGGACTGCTGCTGGAACTCAGAAGGGAAATGACACAGATTGGGTTGGATGGCCACCACACGAGTAGAAATGAGATTTCTAGCAATGCACATAGGAGAGATGAGTCAAGTCCATGAGGCTTCCAGAGTCTAGAGGTCTGATGATTTTTAAAGCTAACACCATCGGTATAGACAGGGCCTTTCACTTACAGCTTTCAGGCAATTAATTCTATCCTGTGATGAGATTTATCTGTTTCCACCACAGCCACAACACTCGACAAATATCTCTAGACTAAATGGAAAATATTTAATTCTTGTCAAATAAGCTTTAAGCCCAGTTTTATTTTTATAAGCCTTATATAATAAAACTGGTACCATGCAGCTGTTCCTTTCCAAACTCTAGCTATGGATTCATTGATGATTTACTTCAGATTGTCATGGCAATAAAGTTGTGCTCAGCTGTAATGCTCGGAGACAATGGGGAAGAACTCAGGAAAAGGGCTCCTGAGCTGGTCCAATGTGCGTCAGAGCCCTAAACCTCCTTCCTGGCCCAACTGGAACCTTCCAGCACATCCTTCCAAGCTTCCCAGTACACGCTGGCTCCCTTCTGCTGTCCCACCTCTTGCATTGTGTCTAGATTCTCCCTCTCCTATAAGCACCTCTTAGATTAGCAGCTGAGCTGGGCATTTGACCTTGTGGCTGTTGGTCTCTCCCTAGCCTCAGCTGACTGCTCAAATTCCCAGGTGAAGCTATGCCACTGTCCA